TGGGGGGCCCGCGGCATCTTCCTCTTCCTCGCAGCCTCCTTCATCTGGCCAAGCTTTGGGAAGGACAAATCCTGATGGGGGGGAAAACAAGGGCTGAGCGCGTTGGCTTGGGGGTTCCTCCTGCCCAAGTCCATCTCTAGAACACACCGAGCATCCTGTGTCCATAAAAACCTCCAAAACACTAAGATCCAGCCCAGAAAAACCCAAACCACTGACATTCAGGCAGAAAACCCTCAGAAACAGAAAGAAGACCCTAAGCCCCTAAAGTACAAAAAGCTGAAATTCAGCTAAAAATACTCCAGAATATGAAGATTAGCCAAAAAAATCGCTCCCGGAAGTTCCTCCTCTTTGATGTCTCCCCTCTGTGGTTCAGAGGGTCTCCCCTGTCTGAGATGCTGGGGGTCCCACTCAGGGATGCTGGCAGTGTTGGGGGTCCCAAGGGTCCCTTCTCCTCTGACTCTCACCTTCACGGTGTTGCGTTCCCAGACATTCCCCCTCTCCAGGTTCTCCACTCAGTTGTCCCGGGGATCCCAGGGGTCCCCACTGTCCAGGCTTCCCCTTCTCCACTTCCCCCATTTCAGGCTCCTGAGTCGCTTCTCTCACCCTTTTTCCATCGTGGCCGTTCTGCTCACCCAACAGTGGCAGGTAGGGCAGGGACAGGGGTGGAGCAGCAACAGCAACAGCAGGAGAACAAGCGCCTCCCCCCTCATCCAGCGCATGCCCGGGAAGGGGGAACTCCTCCCAAATATCCTGGGGGAAGCGTGAGGGGTTGGGACATTTTCGGGCTGCCAGCACAGATTTCCCTGTAAACTCTGCAGTGAGTCAAGCTGTGCAGAGGAGATTGTGCCCCATGGATGGGATTGCAGAGGGGCCCTCAGGAATCAGCAACCAGGAATAGACACAAAAGGCCCACACCTGAAGATTTCTGGGGGAGTGTCCTGTAGGGAGGGGACAGTGTCACCCCACCAGGGCAGGGCTGGCAAGTGGGAGGCTGCTCCAGGGGTCTGCAAGAGGTCTCCTGCTCTGCTCGGCCCCACCACTGCCTGGTACCAACACCCCCGGCTGCCCCCAGCCCTGGGCAGCTCTGCTGCCACAGGCTGTGCCCTCACCGTGGCCCTGCAATGGCCCTGCCTGTCCCTCACCCCTGGCCCTGCCCGTGGCCCTGTCCCTTGGCTCTCTCTCTGCC